TCTGGCTATCATTATCTTGGCTATCATTAAAATTTGTCCCAGTAAGGGACAAAATCACCAAACTTTATACTGCAGCCTTGATTGAATCCTGCTCAGGAGCTACTGCAGTGCAGAATCACAACTCAGAAGTCAGTAGGAGTTTCTCGTATCTGAGGGCAGAATTTAGTGTCTTGTGCTATTCCAGGCTTGGTGTTGGGCTCGTTCCTAATCATCGAGGAGGGTTCTGGTAGATGTCAAGTGAAGAGAATAATAGAGCACGCATCCTTCACCACTCAAGCCAGACAATGAAATTAGAAAATGGCACTGAGAGTTGCTGTGAGAGAATTCCCTTGGATTCCTAGAGGAAGAATAAAACAAGAATGTATTGATTTAAAAAAAAAAAAAGGGAAGAAAATAAAAAAAATAAAAAAGAAAGCAGAAAGGAAGTGGGGAAAAAGAAAATAAATGAGAGAAACCTTGCCAGAAGCCTCCTCAGAACTAGCTAATAATAAAGTCCAACATTAAAAGCTGTATTGTCTTTTTACATAAAGGCGCATGTACTTACTGTTTCGTCTTAGTTTCTGGTTCTGCATTTTTCAAATCTCTGACCGAGCATTTTGCATGCATATGATGTTTGCAGCACTACACGCTCTTATTTGAAGACTGTTTTCAGAAGTCATTACTGAACTATAGGATAAAAAGGTATAAGCATAATTACGTGTTAAAGAGAATAAATATGTTCTGCTAGATAGTTAACCAGGTGAGGTTAAACAAGATAAGATGAATTCTGGTCTTTTTAGAAAACTGACAGTCTTCATTTTAAGCTACAATGTAAAGTGCTTTATCCTGAGATTAGGTATTGTGGCAGAAGCTAAAACTGCCTTTTTCCCCTAACCGTGCCAGAATACAACCTCCTTTTCTTTTTGCGCTAACAAGACTGCTTTACCACCACAGCCCACTCTAAGTAATTAAATCAATCCTTTGTACTTACCGTATTCTCCTCTAGTGACGGTACTAGATCTGATTATATGCTTCATGCATATTCAAAGTACGGCACTGACAGCTCTTTAATGAGCTCTTACTTAATCAGTACGAACAATGTTCATCTTGTTCTTTTTTTCCTCATACATTAGAGCTAGGAACAGTTGGGGAAAAAATGAAACATCCAGCATTCATTTGAAAAATATATTGTACTTTGAAAAGTGTCTAAGCTGGGGAAGTTGCATTCTGCCCTTTAAAAGTCTGATGGACAAATTGGATTACTAGTATTGGATTAAATAACAAATGGTTAGAGGAGAAATGAGAAAAGCTCGCTGTGATCACAGGCTTTAATATTTTTTGTTACTTATAAAGCTGAAGGGGTCTTTAACCAGTTATTAAAGTCAGGATTAATTTGTAATGGTCCAACTTACTAGCTTTAAAAGGGTTTTGTTGTTGTTGTTGTTGTTTTTTATTGAAAACAATAGTGTAATGCATGTATTACGGAAAAAAATGTAAGTTTAAGATCTGTGGGCTATTTATAGATTTTCATCATCTTGTACTGGCTCAGATAAGGGGTTTGCATGCGTGGGATCGATTTGTTCTCAAACATGTTTTTCGCTTCATTTAAATAATCTGTACAGTATTTTTTTTTTCCCTGAGAACAACACAGATATTTTCCCAATTTTAATTCTCCAGCATTTGTAGCAAGTCAATTAAATACTTGTTTTACACTTGGAAAGTGGAAACAAAAACAACCTCAGCAGCAACAGGGGTTTACAGAGTGAAACTGTGAAATTGTGTTGAAGAAAGGCTTTCTCTACATTTTTTTATTTAGAAATTGTAAATGTGAATTTAGCTTGCAATATCACTGCAGAAATAACACTTAGTTTTTCTTTGTAGAAAGTGTTTTGCATGCATCCTTCCACCAAGGAAAAAAAAAAAGAAGTAATGCTCTAATGGTAGTGTATTTGCTGAAAAGAGTTATTTAGATTTCTTATATATGGGAGTTCATCTTTATTTTGCTTGCCTGGGAAGAATCTGTTTCAGCTCCGTGCACAAGAATTTAAAAGCTGATGGTCGACAAATAAAATATCAGCATCGACTGCTATTAATATTGCACACATGTGTCATTTCACTGATCAAAAAGGCTTTCGCCGGGGTACAATTGGCCTTTTTCCAAATTGCAAGCTTTTTCTCAGCTTTTTCTTTTTTACTCTTTCTTCTTTTGTTGCTGCCTGGGGATTTGTGCCTATCGCAGCCGATATCACATGACCGGTGTCAGGGCATCACATGGGTCCAAAGCGAATACAAAAACAGATTAAAAATTCTGTAAAAACAATCAAGACTTTGTTAACTCACTTTTAAACCAGCCCATTCCATGTATATTGCATGTGCTTTGGTGTCAGCGTGGAAATACCAAAATAGGCACCTGTTCAGATCTGACTTGACAGCTCCAAGCTTTACCTGGCTCTTTTCTCGTTATAGGTTACAACTAACTTTATTTAGGAGGAAAGCATTAATAGAAAGAAGTTTATGTTCTTACCCTGAGATTGCATGGCATGAAATTCAAGTTCAGATCCACCGTTGAGTCAAGCTCCTTTGAAACATTTCTGTCTCTCACTTTTTTCAAGGCTTGCAAAATGAAATGCAGTAAGAACTTGCATTTATAATGGCATCTTTTAGCCAGAGACCCCAGACCATCCCAAGCCCAACAAATTTAGTGTCATAACTTGATTAAAATGTTACTATGGCCACATGCGTCTGGTTGTGTGAACGTTTTTTCACCAGCAGCGTGGCAATTTCATGCGTCACAGAATAGACTGGTCATTTTGCAAGGATAAAAAAGGCAATCTATCCCCTTTTTCTTTCCTTCTCCCCCACATAAATTTCAGCTACTTGGTGCATTTCAACAAAAGGTTGCTAATATTGATTATCATCTACTTCTAAAAGCAGGCCCTGTTAGATGGACCAATACAGCAATGTCTTTGATCTGAAACTTAACAGTAAAGAGTACTTATAAGTTTTAATCCTCTTTGGGGGAGTGCTGAACTGCTGAATATTACTGTAAATGCCATGGCCTAGTATTTTCTGCACAAAACCAGAAGTTGGAGGTCTTGGGGGAGAACATTTCTACGTGACAGATTTCTTCCTTCATCGCTCCATCGTCCCGGAGCTGGACCCTGCTGCTTCTGCTTGGAAAAAGGCTGCAGGGCCATCCCCACTTTAGGATGCTCTGCCCTTCCCATCTCGCTGCTAGCAAATCGTGTAACCTAAAATCACCCTTCCAAGGAACAGTTTCATCAGCCAGGAGCCTCCCAGGATGATAAGTGGATATGGGGACACATCTCACGTCAGACAGAAGAGCACACCAAATGACATAACTTTTTCTTACTTTGTGGGTCTACCAGCTCCACCCCAAGCTGACCCACTTTTGTTTTCATCTCCTTTTCCTTCCCTTGTGTGGATGCACCAAGTCCACAGGCTACAGTGGGGGGAATCAAACAGTTTGGAGAAGGCTGATGACCTTCCCTCGCACGCAGCAGGGTCATAGCCGGGTGAGGAGGTGGTTCTCCATGCAGATCTGGGCTTGCACACTACTGTGGCATTGGGATGTGAATGTGTGTGTGGCAGGCACATAGGTGCAAGCATTTCAAACACTGCCATCCAGAAATCGAAAGCTTTCTTTTAGAGCAAAACAATTTCTTTTTTCTGGTGTCTTTCCAGCTTCTGGTGCTGGAAATTGCTTCTCTCCAACTAGGGATCCTATGATTTAAGTTAATAAGATAGCTTCCCCTAGTATACAGCACCTTGTATCAGAGATTTCAAAGCCCTTTACAAACATCAAAGAATTAACTTTCAGCACCCTTGCAAGATCAGTATGGGTGATTATCCCCATATTACACACAAGGTGCTTGAACTCAGGGATCTGCCCACAGTCACACAGTGAAGCAGTGTCAAAGCTGGGAGAAGTACTCAGAAGATCCAGCTCATGCTCCTTTGCCACTCTTCCAGGTTTCTTCCCAGATTTACTTTAACTGTAAGAAATTTGTGAGTTTCATAATTCAGTGAGGACCATAAAATCTTTGCTCCTCAGCTCAACTTGAGAGATGAGAATGGCAGGTCACTGCAGAGGTGCAGTCTCCACAAAGGAATTTGACAAGGTTTCTCCTAGTCCCCGAGCTCAGAGAGAGTGAAATTTGGCTGAGCGACCCTGCTACGTGGAAAGGACAGTCAGGAGCCTTCTGGGCGCTTGTCTGCCTTTTCCTCACGTGGCTTGATGGTGCGGAGGTGGCAATGTAGAGTCTTACAGTCTGGTAGTGTAGCACTGTCTGCAGGTAGGCTATGGAGGGTCTGATTCCAATTCTGCCTGGAAGGCAACGATGGATGTGGGCTGGGGAAAGGAATGCTCATCTGTGCATGGGGGGCATTAGGCACCTGGACCCACAAATTATTTGTATTTCGGCTCCCTTTGGTTGTGGGTAAGATGAGGAGCAGCTTGTTCCAGCTTTTTGTCTGGAAGAGTGGCCATAAACACAGAGGAGCTGAGCAGGTGCCCGTGCCTTTGCCAAGGGTTCAGGCTCTCCTCTGCAGCACTTTGGTCCTGACCATGGCATCCTGCCTGTCCTGGGTTTGTGTAGTGGCTCTTGCCCGCAAGGATTGTTTTTGTGTTTGGAAGACTGTGATGGCCACACATCTTTTAGCAGCAAGTGGGGTTTTTTGTTGGGGACATTGCAAGAATATAGTTCTTTCTGAGGAATTTGAAAAATACAGTACTTTTAAAAAGGTGTTTATTTAGGTCAGGGTATCAGCATGATAAAGACAACTAAAATGTATGCTGAAGAATGGCTGCTTTCAAAGATTTATTTGTGGAACAGGCAGGATTGGGTGGCAGGACTTGTAGCCATATAATATTTTTACCATTTGAGAGTATGCCTAATAATGCTCAGTGATATTGGAGACCGATACTCCAAAACCTGAAATGAAATATATAGCTCAATTTGTGAAATGCCATGTAGGTAATTAAATTCTTTTTATTGTAGGAAGAAACACAGAAGAAGAAGAAGCTATGATGCAGGAATGGTTCATGCTGGTTAATAAAAAGAATGCCTTAATAAGACGAATGAACCAGCTTTCTCTTCTGTAAGTATGGATGGATACATGTATTTACAAAAGGATGATTTAATGGAATATTTACCTAGCAGATAGATGCAAAACTTTTTTGTTTTCTTCCCATTAGTCTTCAAAAATGTTCCCTCAAGAACAAGTAGCACAGATGATTTGCGGAACACGTCGAGTAACTTGTTTTTCTCATATTTCAGACTTGAAAATGAGAAGTGTGCAATGACACAAGATTAGCCAGAGCTGTGAAAAAAAAAAAATTAAAGAAATATTAAGCACAGTTACATTTTCAAAGGCCCAACAGTAAAATAAAATTACATTTTAGAAACGCGCAAATAGGTTTGGATTGTGCCTCAGATGTGACAGGTGAAGACTATTCAGAGAGCAGAATTTGAGCCGCTACCTCTGCTTCGTAGAAATCCTCAATCCCATCACTAGTTCAGCAGCACTGGACTGCTGAAGGGATATTAGTGAATCAGTCACGGTGCAATGATACCACTGATACTGCAAAGTAATGACAAATAAACTTTTTTCGCTAGCACCGGCGAGGAAGGGAGAAGACGCTGCTCGTTTTTAGAGGCGTTCTGCCCTCAGCGCTTCTTTTCCAGCTTCTTTCGGTTTGATTATATTTCTTTCAGTAATGCCACCTAGTGTAGATGCTTGCATACTTCCCCGGGAAGAGCCTGTGCTCACGAATTTCCTACCGTGTCTGAACTTGACAGAAGATTCTACCTTGAAAATACTAAGCTTTCTAATCCTGTGTCTAATTTTCATTATTCATTAGGGCAGAATGTATATAGGATAATACTTCCAGTGTCATATTATCTTGGTGAATAGGCTGATGCTGGAATTTGTTCATTAGATCCGGGGGAATGTTTTATACTTAGAACATTCCACAACAGCCGCTCCAAGGATGAATATGAAATAATTACGTCCTGTAGCACAATAGAGTTAAACTGGCAGAATTAAAGCTGATATTATAGAAAATGAAAAGGCCCTGTTACTGAATATGCCACCTGAGCAAGGTTTTAAGTTTGTGTATCATTTGTTTGGAGTAGCTTAAAGTTAAAGAGAAAAGTCGGTTACGAGTCCTAAAATCAATGTAAGTTAAAGGTTCTTTTAAGTGTTTAATGATTTAGTAATTAACATATTGATGAACTTTTGCAACTTGCCTAGGGAAAAAGAACATGACCTAGAAAGGCGCTACGAACTGCTGAGCCGG